CCGGAGCTCGTCATAAGGTCGGCGAGCTGTTGCGCCACGCACGGCGACGGTCGACGGCCGCGCTCGACAAGGCATTGTCCCTCCTGTCATCGCCTTCCTGGTCATACGTGCAGCACCACGTCGTCAAGGAGCGGGTGGCGCGGTGGCGGCGCGCTCTCGCCGGGCGGTTCTGGCGCCGCCTCGGCTCGCTGCTCGTCCACGTCGCGTACTTCCTCGCCGTCTCCTGGCTCGGTTACCTCCTCCTCGCGCAGCTCAGGTTCCGCGCCGGCAGCGACGGGACGAGGCGGCCCCGCGGCATGGACCTGTTCTTCACCGCCGTCTCGGCCGCGACGGTGTCCAGCATGTCCACCGTCGAGATGGAGGTGTTCTCCAACGGCCAGCTCGTCGTCCTGACCACGCTCATGTTCGTCGGCGGCGAGGTGTTTTTGTCGCTCCTAGGCCTCGCGTCCAAGTGGTCCAAGCTGAGGAAGCAAACTGTTCACAAATCATCCCGGCGCGTCGACAACCACGACGTCCCTGAGCTTGAAATGCCGCCGGTGGACGCCGCCACCGAACTGGACAACCCAACGTCGATGACATCGACCGTCGATGATGAGATGAGCAAGCCGTTGGACCACTTCGATGACACGAGGCTGCGGCGCGACGCGGTGCTGTCGCTCTTCTTCGTCGTCCTCGCGATCCTCCTGGCGGTGCACGTCCTCGGTGCCGGCGCCATCGTGGCGTACATCGTGCACGCGTCGCCGGCGGCGAGGCGGACGCTGCGGGACAAGGCCCTTAACGTGTGGACCTTCGCCGTGTTCACGACGGTGTCCACGTTCTCGAGCTGCGGGTACATGCCGACGAACGAGAACATGATCGTCTTCAAGCGAGACACCGGGCTGCAGCTGCTGCTCGTGACGCAGGCGCTGGTCGGGAACACGCTGTTCCCACCTCTGCTGGCCGCGTGCGTGCGCGTCGCCGCCGCGGCGACCCGGCGCGTGGAGCTCAAGGAGACGGCGAAGAAGGGCCGGGAGCTGACGGGGTACTACCACCTGCTCCCAGCGCGGCGGTGCGCGATGCTGGCGGCGACGGTGGTGGGCTTCCTCGCCGTGCAGGTGGCGATGCTGTGCGGCATGGAGTGGGGCGGCGCGCTGCGGGGGATGAGCCCGTGGGAGAAGGTGTCGAACGCGGTGTTCCTGGCGGTGAACTCCCGGCACACCGGCGAGTCGACCCTCGACCTCTGCACCCTCGCGCCGGCCATCCTCGTGCTCTTCGTGCTCATGATGTGAGTCATCCTCGATCTGTCCTGTCTCTCTCTTTCTCCTCGCTGTCGGTCGATGCTTACGAGAATGCCATACCTGAGTTCCCTACGTTAAACGCCAGCTTGATTCTAGAAGGTAGAAGCTACTACGTAGGATTTTATTTTCCTGTGCTTCTCAACCACCCTCTCTAAAAAAGATATAAAAGCATTTAGATCACTACCGAGGAATATCCCATTAAACTAGAATCCCTCAAGCACAGGAAAATAAAGTCCTCGTAAGGAACACCGCCTGGTATATGTTTAAACTAATACAGTATATGTTTGGCACTGATCATTCAATGAGGTTGCCTAAAACTCCCCTTAAATCTTAGTCGCATTTCTAAGCATTTGATGAACACCCAGTCATCCTCATCTACAAACTAAAAATTGGGACGAGCATTTCACTAAAATTGCACACCCTTCAGAGAGCAACTTCAGGATTTGCAGAGAGATATCCTTTTCTTTTACATGGGACTAGCAGGGATTTTCAACAATTTCAGGCTAAGCTTTCACTACCCACGCGAAAGAATAAGACGTAGATAAGTGACATTTGGACAGGATTGTAGTCAAACTGTTAACAATTTCTATACTGTAGTCAAACTTTTAACAATTTCTTCACAATTTTTTAAACTTCTCAAATATTGAGAATTAATATCTTGAAAATCATTTATATAGTTTGTCTCAAAAGTATACTAAAATAGGAAGTAGCTAATTGCCAAAGTAACATCTCAGAGTGCAAATATCCATTTCTGAGATCAAGCTCATCTGCACCCGGTCAAGATTTTTTTTTTACTAAAAATACAATAAAATTTATAAAACTATATTTTTTGCATTGTAGATAATTTGGTGCATAAGTTGCGCTCCAAATTTAAAATTATTTGGATATATGAGTAGCTCTCAACAAAAAAATAAATTGGGCAGAACAATACATGAACAATAAACTTTTTTATAGACCCCAAATTTATCTTTTTTGCCGAGAGCTACTCAGATGTCCAAATGATCTAAAATTTGGAGCGCACTTCAAGCACAAAATTATCTACCATGCAAAATATATATTATTTTTTTTGAATTTTTCTATTATTTGTTTTGAATTTTTTTCTTCATCTCGGGTGCAGATGAGCCTAGGCACCGAATCGCTGCTCTCCTCAGAGTATCAATATCATCCAAGAGGTCACCTATTTGTGTTGTACTACCTCCCTCCTGTGGTCCTTTCGCATTTCAGGACTGGAGTTAAAATTATGGTCAAAATATATCACAAAGTAATATAATAAAAAACTACACGAAAATACGAATCCAACAATATAGTTCTTAAAGACATGCATTAACATTTTGTTAGTAAAAAATGTGGTCAAAATTCAACCCAAATTTCGAAGGGGCTAGTAAAAGAGGACGGAGGTAGTATGCAAGGACTGCAGCGGGTGTACATAGTAATCGGCATTCTTTCTTAGTTCGCCTTAATTAATTTGTCGTCCAAATTCTATATACCCCAATCACACCCGTGCCAAGTACCAGTCCAAACATGGGTGGCGAGGTGCACTGCAGGCGCTTGGCCATTGTGGTTGTGGACCTGGTTTCTCCAGGAAATGCCGTTCAGTAATTGAACGGAGAGGTAGAGGAATCTTCCCTCCCTATGAAAAGTATTCGAGCTCGTCAACCTCTCCGCAAGTGCATTGCCATCCGCGAGTCGACAGGCACGCGCACGCGCTGGCTGACCGCATGCACCTTGCCCGGCCGGAAGAAAAACCAGCCACCAGCATCGACACAAGTTGAGATTCGGAATGCTGATCGAAACGTATTCGAACGTACCGTCCAGGCCCCATGCATCATGCACACGTCCAATTCAGCTCGCACCGTCGTAGTAGCATCTCCACCACATTGTTCTCTGAATTCCATACATGCATGCATGGCGCAGTGGTCCATGAGAGATCGTGACCGTGTGTATATAGGCAGCGAATCCGGACCAGTATATGTGCCATTCCCTGAGAATGGTTTCCACTCGCCAGAATGTCCTTGCACGTCCACGTCTGGATACTGAAAGTCTGGTAGTAGGTGCCATTTTTGGGATATCCCATATTCAGAAGAGTAAGTAGAACTACACAATTGGACGCTCTTCTCATTATCCTCACGAACCACACAATCCCAGCGCATTTTTCAACGAGTTTCTGGTACCTCAAGTAGATAAAGCGCGTTAGTGCAGTCTTTGTAGCTACACATTATCATCACTCACGTTCTGCTTCTTCTTGCTTGCTCAAGTAGATAAAGCGCGTTAGAGCAGTCTTTGTAGCTACACATTATCATCACTCACGTTCTGCTTCTTCTTGCTTGCTTCCAGGTACCTGCCTCCATACACGACATGGTTTCCATTTGAAGAGAGCTCCGGCGTCAAGGACCATCCCACGGAGGAGACCCAGGGGGCCAGGCTGCTCAAGAGCACGCTTCTGTCACAACTCTCCTATCTCGTCATCTTTGTCATTGCCATCTGCATCACTGAGAGGGAAAAGCTCAAGGAGGACCCCCTCAACTTCAACTTGCTCAGCATCGTTGTCGAAGTCGTCAGGCAAGTCCCAACTAACTCTAAGCAATTCAAAGCCTGAAAAAGGAAATAACAGTATACTCCTTGTTCAAGCATATACTACACGATAAGAACTGCGAGTCGCATCCTTCAGGGAAGCTGACATTTTTTAGTGTAACGTTCTGCAGCGCTTATGGGAATGTGGGCTTCTCCATGGGCTACAGCTGCAGTAGGCAGATCAGTCCGGACGGGATGTGCACTGACAGGTGGACCGGCTTTGCTGGGAGGTGGAGCGATTCCGGCAAACTCATCCTCATTCTTGTCATGCTCTTCGGGAGGCTGAAAAAGTTCAGCATGTACACGGGCAAAGCCTGGAAGCTTAGTTAGAAGAAGTACCAGCACTAAAAAAGAAGTTAGAAGAAGTACCAGGTGACCATTAATTGCAGGCACCGCTGGTCATGGGGTGAGCACAAGATGGGATGCTCCCCACTTCTTTTCACCCCCTCTGTATGGCTGTATTCTTTTAAGATGCAGAAGGGAGCACACTACGAGAGAAGTTCATATTACAACCTCAAACTATCATGAAAGTCTAAAGCACAACCCTGAACCACGAAACCATCTAGTTTACAACCCTAAACTTTCAAAACCGGACATAAAACAACCCGGGGTGGTATTTGACTGGTTTTGACCAGTCAACGGCTCAGTCAGTGACAACTCATTTGCCACGTGCTCCTCTAGACAAATTTCGACGTCAAAAAAGGTGTCCCAATTTTTTGAAAATTTCTCAAAAATCCACACAATCCTCACCTTAAATCTGGGAAAAGTTTCATCAAATTTTGTCGAGAGAAAAAAATAAGAGCAAACATTCAAATTTGACCCAAAATGGCTCTAAATTTTTGGTCTAATTTTTTTCTGCTCCAAATTTTTTGTGGAAACTTTACCAGATTTAATATGAGGGTTGTGTAGATTTTTGAGAATCTTTTTAATTTTTTGTGGACACTTTTTTTAGCCAAAATTTGACCAGAGGAGGACATGGCGGATGAGTTGGCGCTGACTGGGCTGTTGGCTCGTCAAAACCGGTCAAATATCACCCCAGGGTTGTTTTCTGTCCGGTTTTAAAAGTTCAGGGTTGTAAACTAAACGGTTTTGTAGTTCAGGATTGTGCTTTAGACTTTGATGGTAGTTTGAGATTGTAATATGGACTTCTCTCTATTCTTTTTAGATGCAGAACGGACCGTTCAATGTGTCATCCCTATAGACTCACCTGTAAGTGCTGCTGGATTTAGATTAGACAACAAAAGTTGATCATAGAATTATGAAGGCTTACTAATTAGCTAGCCAATTCTCTACAGGGCTTGACAATCATGGGTCAACCGTCCTATTCGGAGTAGGCCATCTAAAAAACGAGATAATAGGGTCATTCAAATGATCGCTAAGCACATTTGTCAAGGCAGTGGGAGGAAAGGAACTAAAATATAATAACATACCAAGACAAGGCGATGAAGAAGGGATAGGAAACATACTTTCAAACACCAAGCACATGTTCTGCTGGTGGCATATTAGAAAGAACATGAAGGAAAACAATGCAACATTGTTTGCACAATATCCAATAATGTACGAAGAACTCACTCTAATAAGCAAAATCTTCTAGATTCAAATGAGTTCAAAAGATCATGCAGAGCAGCAATTTAAAGATACTAGATCAATGCCCCGCGCATTGCTGTAGGAGTTTGTATGAAATAAAAACTGCGCTGAACTAATCAACCTAGCTAGTGTCTTCACAATTTCTCTTCTAGCAATACAATTTGTTTATCAATATTTTTAAATAATGTATATCTTTGTGTATAAGTGCAGAATTGGACGAAAACAATACAAATATGCATGCATGCGTCACTTTCTTTCATAGTGGTAGCACTGGAATATGAGCTGCATGCATGCATCCATTTTTTTATTGATTAAACATCTCTTAGGCATCATTTACTACATGCACTGCATGCATGCGTTGGTGGCTCTTAATGGGTAGATCCAATGGCTGTTGTAGTCTGATCAAGTATATCCAACAACTAAATTAATTTAGGTGATGTGGCTCAAGGAGAAGTAAGAGAATTCCTAATAGCTATAGTAGATAAAGCAGAAGGAAACAAACACTTTAACCCATCATGGAACTCTGCTCATTCTGGGTGCGAACATACTTCAAGGACTACTTCTACCTATTCTCAACAACAACCACATGAATGAGAGAACAAACTCTAAAAAAACTACGTGAACCACAAAGACCATACAAAACTTTGTCAAGGCTTACAAGTATATTCAACAAAGTTACCTTGCCACCCGCGACAAGAAAAGATACCTAACAGTAAGAGAAGACATCATCAACGGAGACTGGCTTCCCGATCGAACGAGAAGCAAGCCAAATATACACAAACGGTATATTTAGGAACTCCTAGCTAGAGCTAAAGAATAGAACATACTACCATGACCTGGCACGAGGGAGACAATATCTCTTAAAAAGGATTGAAATGGAAGAGGGAACCGTACCAAGGTGAAGAATTCCACATGTCAGAATTTAGAGTAGATGTCGATGACGAAAAGGAAAAATACAAGTGCACCTTCAAGAAGATGCAAAGGGATGACATACAGTGTTGCCACGTACTTAAGGTAATGGACCATACAGGAATGCTGGACCAACTGCCAAAAACTTTTATCAACCCTAGATGAACAGATAACATAGTAGAGAGCACGAAAGCACTGACTACTAGTCAAGAAAATAACATGCCAGCAATAGATGATGAAAGCATGAGATTCAGCCTAGCGTACACAGAAATGGCAGAAATCTGCTCACACGGTAACAAAGAAGACAAAACATACAAAGTGCTAATGGAGTGTATGCAAGACATTAAAATTAAAGTCATGTCAAGACTTGCCGATGAAGAAAACGAGCAGAGAGAAGAACCCAGCATAAGCAACCTTTCTAAAACTCTAAAAAACCCTCCCATGAGCAACTCAAAGGGCACATAAAAGGAGACCGGATCAAAGCAGGATCAGAGAAGAAGGGAAAATGCAATAGGGCCGCAGCCAGGTGCGGCAGTTGCAAAACTAAAGGATACACGAAAACCAGTTTTATGAAAAACCCAATAGTAATAGAAAAAAAATGAGGATTAAAGACGAGAAGTGGAATACGCGGCATGAGAAGATGACAAAAGCAATAAAATTAACCCACAAAATAGATGGCACCGTCAAAAACATCAAACAGAGAACACACTCCAAGCCGAAGACAACAAACAACAATAATGCCAACAACACTACTAACAACAACACACAGAAACCAATCTCCTCTGACAAAACTACAATCTAATATCACAGAGGCCAGGCAGAGAAAATGTGCACAGACAAGCTCAGAATAAGGTACACCAGACAAATCGCACTCAAAGAAAACATATGCATATGAAGAAGCTACTTACAGAATAGTATGGAAACTGTTTCGTACCGAAAAAAGTACAAATGGAAAAGGTAAAGGTAAAGAGGTAGCTTAAAAAAACTTTCATTAAGACTACTAAAACGCAACTAGAAGCACAATTGTTTGTATGTTGCGGCACATGTATGTCTCCAGCAGAGGCACGGGTTTGCTTCTGAGTTACATGCAACTAGAAGCACAACTACGCCTTTGGTCCAAGCACAAGTTTATGTGCAGCAGAGGTATAGATGTGTTTCTAGGTCTAACGCAGCCAGACGCATAAATGTTCCTCTGCCGGGCCACAATTTTATCTACAACAGAGGTACATATGTGCTTCTAGGTAAAATGCAACCAGAAGCACAACTATGCCTCTCCTAAACAAACACTAATATCTGCAATAGAGGAGCATGTGTGCTTATCAGTTTTAAGTTGGATTAATCTTAGTTCAGGAGGGAAAAAGAACAGTTGTGCCTCTAGCTAGGCACAACCGTGTATCCAATAGAAGCACATGCGTGCTTACACATTAATTGCAACCAGAAGCACAACATTTCGTGCAGTGTATATTAGATGAAGATCTTGCCTCGAGAGCTGAGCACTATTTCTCTGAAATGAAGCAAGTTGTTAAGGGTAAGCTTAGCATATTTTTCATGTACTCCCTTCAGTGTATTTGATTCTGTAACTTGAATTCCTCCTTGACATGTTTCCATGCACAAGGATATCAAATACATTTTTTTAACATAGGCATATCAAATACATAGTTCTCCATGTTTGTACTACTCATTGCATGTCCAAAAAAAACCCCCAGAGTTTCCACCTTTTAGTTCGGCATACTTGAATTGTATGGAGTTGTATTCTTCATGAAAATACTGGGGTTGCATCTATCTCAATCTGTGGACGTCCAAAAGAAAGAGGTGGTTTACCTGGTAGTATTTCTCATTCACCATATATACTACTAGTATTTGACTGGACCTGCTAGAGAGAAGGTTACAGACTTACCGTTAACATTTCATGGTCCACTGGCTATGTCATATCTCCACTGAAGTTTCAACTAATAGTTTTGTTCTGGCTAATCTGTGTTGAGGAAGAGAGGCATGGGCTCGTGGAGACCTGCAAGAATTCAGACAGCTGATCTCTGCATCTGGCCGCAGCTCCATAGTCAACTACGAATGCGGTATGCCCATTGAAACACTTCAGGATCCACTGTTACATTCAGTTTCAGGTCACAATTCTTTTACATGTCGCTAGCAGTCCTTCACAGATGGAACAAGTACTATTTGACGGAATTCCCAAACTGCAAGGAGCATCTAGAAATAAGAGAAGGATGCTCCTACAAGCCTCCTCAGAGCTCAGACGAATCCGGCCGTCCGTTGCATTCGCTTGATGATGTTTCGACCGTCGGATCAAGCCGTCGGACGTGCTCTGCCGTCGGATCTGGGAGTAGCACTATAGGAATGAATAGTTACCTCTCGTTCGTGCCACCGCGCGTAATTTCAGTGCCACGCCGAGGGCATTTTCGTCATTTCATCTGTTGGCGTATAAAAGAAATCGGCTCGAGCGGAGACCTAGCTGCCTGCCTCCTCCCGCACTTGCGCCCCCTCCCCTCTTCCCAGCTGCGGCTCCCCACCCTCTTCCTCCCGCCCCCCGCGCCGCCATCTCTGCCTCCTCCCCCCTCCGGCCGCCACCTCTGGCTCCTCCCCTCTCGCCGCTCGTCCTCCTCCTCCCGCTTCTCATCCCTGTCGCGCCTCCCTCCTCCTCCCCACGGAATCGCAAGCGGCCCTCCCTTGTGATAGCCGCTCTCGGTGATGAAGGGCGGCGGAGCCAGGAGCAGCGGCAGCGAGTTGATGCGGATGCGGCTGCGGCTCCCCTAGTGCTCTCTCGTGCTTCCTGTTCTCATCGACGGCTTCTTCGGCTCCATCCTCTTGGCCCAGGTAAC